TCATCATGGAGATAAACCTGGCCTTGTAGACATTGCCTTTCTTTCATTGCAGCTCCACGAGCTCACCCTTGGCCAAGGCCCCCACATGGCCATGCAGCAACACCAGCCTGCATGTCTGTGGCCAGGAAGAGGCCTTCTGGTACTGGTGCTCCACTGTCACCCCCTCACCTTTGTCAAAGTTCATCTCATAGAAGAACTCCATGGTGGTGCTGATGACATGGCAGTGGTAATAGAGGCCATTACAGTTCTTGGTGATGACCACTTGACCAGGGACACAGCCAGAGGACCTGTAACTGCAGTAGGTGGGGGTCAGGCAAGGCATCATCGGGGCTGGGAGTATGGTGGTTGGAGGGCTGGGTGGGGTGAGGAGCCTGGGGAACTCATGGTGTGGCCACCAGCCTGGTACTTGAGGCAGGTGATGGCCATTTCATAAGGCCAGTTTTCAGGTTCCAGCAGCAGCACCCCAGTGGCATGCATGCAGGTCATGTGGAAAGTGTAGCCTTCCATGTGGCACAGGGCCCTCCTGACCCCAGACCACAGCTCTGTATCCACGACCAGCCCCAACACTATCCCACTGTCTACCCGGCCTAAGAGCAGGCCAGGAAAGAGGACCCAGGCAGCACCCAGCATGAAGCAGATGGACACATTGGGAAGCTCAGAGTCAGGGGGTGGACATGTCTCAGTGCCTGCTGTGGTCTACTGGGCATGGCAAGTCCACCATGCCAGGTGGCTCTTGGCAGGACACTCGTCACAGCATGGAGGAACCTCAAGGATGCTGTGCATGGTGAGAGATGCCGGATACAGAGGTCATATAGTGTGGGCTCCCTATGCAGGAAATGACCAGGAGAGGTGATGCTAGATACAGGAGTGGACTTGGGTGTGCCAGGATGTGAGAGGAAGAGGTGTCACCTCATGGGACAAAGGGGGCCATGGAGCACTGGAGCCACAGCTGAGGTAGCTGCCACAAACAGGCCATGTCTGCTGTCACCCCGAGCATTTAATAAGCAGCCCTATCATTCTGCAAACCATGTACAAAGACCACAGAATCCCAGCTGCAGCCGTGGTATGAGGCTCTCAGGATTGATAGAAATGAGATCTCATTATAAGACCACGAATAATCGGGCCATGGTATAGGGTGGTGCTGAGGTCCAGCAAGAAGCCTGGAAGTATCTGCCTCGAGGCCTGGTCCCTGCTGCACACTGGGAACACATGCACTACCCCCCAAAGGCCACAATGCCTGGCTTACCATGAGCCCTTCTGGCCTGGGGGAGTCCCTGGGAGGTGGACATCTGCCCTGTGCTCTCCCAAAGCCATGCAGAGTAGCTTCAGAAGTCTCCACCCTGGCTCTCAGCCTCATTCAGGACTTCTGATTTCCCAGAGCACATCAAGGATGTCAGGACACACCAGATCATCGTCCCTGGGGCCTGGAGAGGGGCTCCCACCTTGGGCAAGCATGCTGGGCAGGTAGGATATAAGTACGCTTCTCACACAGGCCCATTAGGAAGGACACATGCACCCAAGTAAAAGGATCTTTTGGTTTTTTTTTTTTTTGTCTTTTTTGTTTTTATCGGTACCAGGGATCGAACTCACAACTGCCTGCTTACAAGGCAGGCGCTTATGCCGCTGAGCTAAATCCCCAGCCCCGTAAAAGGATTTTTAATTAATCATTACAAGGTGAAGAGGTTGCTTGCTGGAAATGTGAGCAGATCCCTAATGCCCATGGGATGGCATGCCATCCTTCCCCCTGACTAATGAGGCCTTTTAAACTATGTCTGTGGATCAAGGCTCTACCACCAGGTACAGGCATCACCTTCAGCTGTCACTCTGAGTATTTAAGTTACTTTTTACCCATCACTGAGACAAAATACCTGATGACCAAAGATGGGAAAGAAAAGGTTTATTTCTTACAATTTTAGAAGATATCAGTCCATACTCTGTTGAGTCCAAGGCAGAGTGGCATGGCACAGCCACAGTTCATGGCATCTGTAAACAGCAAGCGAAAAACATCAAGAGAGTGAGAGACACCTTCTTCCTGCCACTACACTGTATCCTGGCTCCATCCCTATGTGGTTGTAGCACTGACACCATCAAGTAAAACACTATACAATGAAGAAATCACAAATACATAATGTAAACACATGAGGCCTATGGGCCACCAAAATAAACCATGACATTCCATCCCTGGACCCCAAGACTCATATACATCCTTTATACAAAAGAAAGTTAGTCCATCTCCAAGAGTTGCCAAAGTCCTGACAGTTTCAGCATTTCTGAGAAGACCAAGTCCCAAGTATCCTTCAAGATCTGTGGCAAACTCTTAACTGTAACACCCTATACAAATGAAACAAGTTTAAACATTTCTGAAATGCAAAGGCACAAGATAAACATTACCATTTCAAAAGTTACAAACAGGAGAATATAAAACATTTGAAACAAAGCAAATACAATATCCAGCAGGACAAACATTAAGTCCTAGAATTTCATGTTCAGCATTTGAAGAAATCTGGTTGCAAGCTCCAAAAGGCTTGTATGATTCCACCCCCATGGCACTTTCAAGGATTTCAACTCCTGTGTGTCCCTTAAATCCTCTCTGCTCGCTTTCTGCAACTTTCCTTGGATGATCCACGTTCCAGGCTTTTTCAAACTTCTGGAATCTCCACTGCATCTTTCGCTTCACCTTTACATATTTACAAATTGTCCTCTCAGGGGCACACTGATTGGCAGCCCAAGCCCTTTACAATTGAGGTGGAAGCTGTCTTACCCTCAGAAATTGTGCCTTTCCTTTCACCTAAAATCACCACCATATGGATGTCACCAAGGTTTGCTACCAGCTGGAGCAGTAGCCAGGCTTTTCTCTCTCTTGGCTGTGGGGGTCAATTGCCTATATTGTTGGGCTCTGTGAGCCTGACTGTGAAGAAAACTTCTCTGTTGCCACCATTTTGGAACCTCACATGGCCTCCATCACCATTCTGGAGCATGGTGCTCTGCAGCTTTCTCCTTTGAACAAATTCTTTCACTTTTGCAGTTTTGAGGCTGCAGTGGGTTGGGACCCTCTGGTTCCTGTGATGTCCCGGGGCTATCTTTCTTATCTCTCTGTTTCTTCTCAGCACTCAAAGTCTACTTTAACTTTACAATCCACAGATTTACTGGAGTTTTCCTACTGGCCAAACTCACAGTATTGTGAATTACCCTGCTGGGCCTTTGCTCTTTATTTGCAACACAAAGCTGCCTAAAAGCACCCAACAATAGCCATGCCACAGCCTCAACATTAGACTGCCTTGAAATTTCCTTTTCAGATTAATCAGTCCATTGCCCTTTTTTTTAGTCTCAGGAAAAGTCTCTGGGAATGAGAAAAATGAAGACAAATTTTCTACTAAGCCATAACATGCATCATCATGGGGAGTCCAACAACCAATGCAGTGCTTCTTCCCAGCAGAAACCTCTGAATATTGGTTTCTACAATCAGCCTTTCTATCAGCCTTCTGGCCTCCTCAGCTTTGAACAGAATCACCTCTACAGAAGAGCCTAAAATTCTCCAGCTCAAGGCATCCAGTTGACATGTCCAAACGTTTCCAAACTCTTCCCACAACCCATTTCCAAAGTCTCTTGAAAAACATGGCCAGGTACAGTCACAGCTAATAACCCCATTCCTCAGTACCAAATTCTCTTTTAGTTACTTTTACTCTTTGCTGAGACAAAATACCAGAGGACCAAAGTTGGGAATGGAAAGGTTTATTTCTTTTTTTTTTTGAAAGTAGTAAAAATGCAACAGCACAAGACAGAACAAAGCCAATCAAGACAATGCAGTGAAATTGTTAAAGGATTTCACATTAGGATACTGGGATAGTAGTAATAGCTCTGTACGGTGTCTAGTCAATTAAGTATAGTAAAAGCAAACCAAAAATAGAACATTGTAAGACCAATTGAGAGTACTGAATAGAGGAAAAGAAACATAGCAAAACAAAACAATGAAAAAAACCTTTACTTTTAAACAGAAGATAGAAGGAAATCCACCATACTTGCTATACTGTATTATGGTCCTCCTACGCCAAGACATCTATCCCCAGTAGCTATGGGCAGGAGGGAAGAGGGAAGAGTGCTTGATTTTTCAGCCCACAAGGCAGTAGACTCACAGGTAATGGTTCTCTTCCTGGCCCACACCATGGGTACTTTTCAAGAGGGTGGAAGAATAAGCTGCCTGAGTCCCACCATGGCCGGATCTGGGGAGTTCTGGTCCTCCTCCTGGCCCACACCACAGACACTTACAAGGTTTATTTCTTACAGTTTTGAGAGGTTTTAGTCTATACTAAATTGGCTCCATGACAGGGTGGCAGGGCAGGATGTCAGTTCACGGTGGCTGCAAACAGCAAGTGAAACTGACAACTGTTGTAGTCTAAGAAAAATAGCTTCATTATATTTGTATCAAAAGCAAAATACCTGTAATGTGGCCTACTGTTCTATATATGGTTTTGCTTTTCTTTTGGGTGACCTAATTGATATGTTAATCAATGCTCCCCTCTGTAAAGAGTTGTAAATCCCTAAAATCCTAGCCTAATTGATATATTAACCATTGTTTCCCTCTACAAATAACAGATGCGGTGCTAAGATAAGCTAACAGGAGTTGTTAGTTACTCCTAGGCTTCCCTATTCTCTGCTGAGGAAAACCAGGATGTTTCGCTGATTTAAACTTGTTTAAAGTAACTTGCTTGTATGCAGAGAGACTTGCTTGTTAGCACAACCCTTACCTGACCTCGCTCTCCCCAAGGAATGTAATCTTGCCATATTTTCTATTCTGTAATGCACGGCACTGCCTTCCCCCCTTTCCCTACCCAGTAGTAGTCTGTCACAAAATGTGCTAATTGTGCTCTTCTTAAGAAATGCTTAGCTTCAAAGAAATTACAGGAAAATGTTATGGCTTAAACCCTGTAGGGAGCCGAGTGACAGCCCATTGCTGCCTCCCTACCTCTCACTCCTATGGGCACTGCATCTGCCTACATTAACCATAATCCTCTCCTGCTTACGTCACGTATCTGGATGTGATGGTGACCCTGTTGTATTCACCCCTTAACCTCTTCCTGTCCCACCTCCCACCCTTGGCCTATAAAAGGTATGATCATTGCCTGAATAAACAGCAGCTTGATTGGATTATTTCGACTTGCTTTCATCTCTCTTTGTCTCCCCCCATGTCTTTTATTTAATCCCTGTTCCCCCTTCAGGAGTTCTCCATGGATTGATCTGCAGGCCGGATCAAGTGGCGCTCAGTGTGGGGGCTCCTGGCACGGAGGAGTTAATGAGGGAGCCGTTTGAGAGACAGACAGCTTAAACTGAAAGTGAAAGCAAATTGAACCAAAGACCGCGGCAAGGAGTGAGCAAACTGAATCAAGGATTAAACCTTAAAGCAACAGGACATTAAATTAAGTACTGAGGCCTGTGCAGACGACTACCCAACATCCTGCCTGAGTCACGGTGAGTGAACAGCAACCCCATTTCCTTTCCTGGACATGGGTCAAGTATTGAGCAAACACGAATTGTTCATGGGAGGCCTTAAAAAGGCATTAAAGACAAGAGGGGTAAGAGTTAAAAAAAGAATTATTGCAGTATTTTCAATTTATTCATAAGGTTTGCCCTTGGTTCCCCCTAGAGGGTTCTATAGATAACAAGAGGTGGAATAGAGGAAGAGATGCTTTAAAAGATTATTATAGAGTTTTCTGTCCAGAAAAGGTTCCTGTGACCACCTTTATATATTGGAATTTAATCTCTCAGCTGCTTGCTCAGTGGCCTGCAGATCCTCAGGTTGAGGAGATGGTTGCACTAGGTGAGGCTGCCCTGTGAAACTCTGTTAATTCCACATCAAAACCATCCTCAGAAAAATCTGAAGCCTCTGATTTCTCAGATGCAGAGGATGACGGGCTGTTAGAGGTCCTCCTACATGGTGATCTGCCACCACTTCCTCCTGTTGACATGATCAACAGGTCCCACTCTCCGTGCCTCCATGGCCAATTGGGGATTCATATAAGCCTTTATATCCCGGCCTTTCTGATTCTCAGGAGGTCAACTGGGAACAACGAACACAACAAGCCTCTACATATCGCCCTGACCCTGTTGCAGCACCAGCCACTATTAGGCCTGACTATGATGATGCACTCAGCATCTGCTCTCAACCTTCTAGCACATTAGCAGAATTAGAGCAAAGAAAAATGGATCTTTTAAAACAGATACAGCTAGAAAAAGAATGCCAAAATCTTTCAATTCAATTGCAGGCCCTCCGAGCTACACAGTTTTATAGTGTCCTTGAGATGGCGCCTGCCTCTGGCATGCCTTGTGGCATGCTTAAAATGGTGCCTGCCTCTGGAAGCCAGCCTAAAATGGCTTTCCCAGTCACAGAGGCCCTTACTCCCCCACGGGATGTTGAAGAGGGCACTGAACCACAAGCTTTTAGGATACACACACCTCTCACCGTGGCAGCCTTAAAAGAGTTAAAGGCCGCAGTCTCTCAATATGGCCCGACTGCCGCCTACACCATTGCGGTTCTAGATTCTTTGACTCAGGGTTGGATTATTCCTAATGAGTGAAAAGACTTAGCAAAAGCCACCCTCTCCAGAGGCAATTATCTATTATGGAGATCTGAATTTCTTGATCAATGCAAGGGCATAGCCAGAGATAACGCCGCACAGACAAACCCCTGGATCCTCGCTATGCTTACAGGAACAGGAGATTTTGCCACAAAAGAGACCCAAATGCGGTTTGATTCGGGCCTCTTTGCACAGGTTAATATGGCAGCCATTAGAGCATGGAAACGGCTCCCCTCAGGAGGCGAGCCTACCTTATCTCTCACCCAAATAAAACAAAAGCCTGAGGAGCCCTTTTCGGACTTTGTTGATCACCTGTTACAGGTGGCAGAGCATCTTTTCTGCTCCACAGAAACAAACTTTTCCCTGGTTAAACAATTGGCTTATGAAAATGCAACCTCAGATTGTCAGGCTGCAATTTGACCACATCGCAAAAAAGAGAACCTATCAGGTTATATCTGCTTATGTACAGATATTGGGCCGGTTTATCAAGGCCTAGCCATGGCTACAACACAATAAGGTTGCATGGTTACACAACCCCTCTCTCATTCTAAAAAAGATGCCACTTGTTTCAAACGTGGCCAAAGTGGCCACACGGCTCGTGATTGCAAAAGAAAAAATCAAAATCAGTCCTCTACAAAAAAATCAGGGCTATGTCCTAGATGTAAGCAAGGAGACCACTGGGCTAATGAGTGCAGATCCAAAAGAGATTTTCATGGTAACCCTCTTCCTCCACAGGGAAATGGGTTACAGGGCCAGCCCCAGGCCCCCAATTTCGGACAAACCCGTGGGGCTCCAAGGTTTGTCCCAGCACAAAACAATCCATTTCAGACCTCTTCAGGGCAACCCCAGGGAGTGCAGGGTTGGACTTCTGTTCCACCTCCAACACAGTATTAACCCCTGACATGGGTGTCCAGATCATGCCCTCAGGAATCTATGGGCCCCCTCCCCCCGGGACTTTTGCACTTATTATTGGACCTAGTAGCACTGCACTTAAAGGATTACAAGTTCTGCCTGGGATAGTAGATAGTGATTACACAGGAGAAATAAAAGTCATGGTTTCTCCCCTTGTCGGCATCATACCAGTTAGGACAGGGGAACGCCTTGCTCAATTGCTGCTATTGCCTTTGTCTCAAATGTCTAACAAATAAGACAATTGTCTTAATGGGGCCCCTACAGCCAGGCCTCCCCTCACCCAGTGCCATTCCCCTGGGATTTTTTTAAATTGCCATAGATCTTAAAGATTGCTTTTTCTCTATTCCTTTACATCCAAATGACCAAAAGCGTTTTGCCTTCAGTCTCCCGTCAATTAATTTTAAAGCCCCTATGCAGAGATTTCAATGGTGCATTTTGCCACAAGGTATGGCTAACTCCCCCATGCTATGCCAGTCTTTTGTAGCCACTGCAATACAGCCAGTCAGAGATCATTGGCCACATATCTATATTATTCATTATATGGACGATATTCTCTTGGCAGGAGATGACCAAAACCACACCCTAAAGTGCTACCAGGACTTACAGGTTGCCTTACAAGAGGCTGGACTTCAAATAGCCCCTGATAAAGTATAGCTTACTGATCCATATACATACTTGGGTTTTCAATTACGTGGCACTCAAATACTCTCTCCAAGGCCCCAGCTGAGGCTTGATGGGCTCAGAACACTTCATGACTTCCAAAAACTATTGGGAGACATTAATTGGCTCATATCATTTTTAAAACTAACTAAACATGATTTACAGCCCCTTTATGCACTGCTTCAGGGAGACATAGATCCAATCTCCCCCCGAGAGCTTATACCTGATGCCAGGAGAGCTCTCAGTAAAGTAGAAGAGGCTATTGCTCAACAAACTGTTTCCTTTATGGGCTACAATGAGCCTTTACAGTTTCTCATTTTTAATACAAAGCTTTGTCCCACAGCAGTGTTCTGGCAACAAGCTCCCCTCATATGGGTCCATTTATCAGTCTCCCAAAAAGAACACTCCTGCCTTATTTCCAGGCTGTTTCAGACCTAATAATTCAGGGTAGAAAGCAAGGAAAATGTTACTTTGGCAAAGAACCAGATATTATCATTCAACCTTTTACAAAAGACCAAATAGATTGGCTATTTCAGACTACAGAAGTGTGGCCTATTGCCTTAGCTTCCTTTTCAGGGACTATTGACAATCACAACCCTCCAAATAAGCTTTGCTAATCGCCACCCATTTATATTCCCTAAGGTCACAGCTTCATAACCCCTTCCAGGCGCCCTGGTGTTATTCACTGATGGCTCATCCTCTGGAAGGGCCGCTTATGTATCCCAAGACAATGTTTCTACCCTCCAGGCAGACACTTCCTCTGCCCAATTAGCAGAGTTACAAGCTATTCTTGCAGCCTTTGCTGCTTACTTCAACCGACTCTTTAATTTGTATACTGACAGTGCTTACCTTGCTCAGTCTGTTCCATTATTGGAGACTGTTGATACCATCTGTCATGCTTCCCTGGCTTCAAATCTGTTCAAATGATTACAATGCTTCATACAGCTTTGCCATCATAAGTTCTTTATTGGTCATCTGCGGGCCCATTCCAACCTCCCTGGACCTCTTCCCCGAGGAAATCATTTGGCTGATGTTGCTGTACGAGCACAGATTTTTATGACTCATGATTCCAAGGTGTCTGAGGCCCAACAGGCCCATCAGCTACACCACCTCAATGCTCACACCCTCCGCCTCCTCTACAAAATTACCCGTGAGCAAGCCAGACAAATTGTAAAAAATTGCCCCTCTTGCGCTATCCACTTACCTGTCCAACACCTAGGAGTCAACCCAAGAGGTTTAATCCCTAACGCCTTATGGCAAATGGACATTACTCATTTCAATGAGTTCGGCAATCTAAAATATGTACATGTCATTATTGACACATATAGTGGCTTCATTTTTGCCACTCTCCAGACTGGAGAAGCTGGTAGACACATTATAGCCCATATGCTGTCAGCCTTCTCAGTTCTGAGATGTCCTCAACAGCTAAAGACTGATAATGGCCCTGGCTATACCAGCACCTCCTTCGCTCTATTTTGCAAGAGTCTTAATATCCTCCACACCACAGGTATACCTTATAATCCTCAGGGACAAGGCATTGTTGAATGTGCACACCGTTCCGTTAAATTCACCATAGATAAAATAAAAAGGGAGACATGGTACCCCACCCGGGGGTCCCCTAGAAATGTCCTTTCACATGCTCTTTTTATTTTAAATTTTCTGACCCTGGATGCTTCAGGCTGCTCTGCAGCATCTTGATTTTGGCATACTCAAACTCAAACATGGTTTGCATCTGTTTTATGGAGAGACCCACTAACCAATATGTGGAATGGCCCTGACCCAGTCCTTATCTGGGGACACGGTTTAGTATGTGTTTACTCTCAACAAGATAGAGAAGCTAGATGGCTACCTGAATGCCTCATAAAACAAGTAGACAGTTCTTCAAAGACCCCATGCAATGCCTAGGAATAATGTCATTTCCTGAGGCACAATCTCCTGTGTTCTCTTACAGGTGACACAACTCCCTGGAGTCTTATGCTGCCTAGTCAGCCTTCTTCTTGAGCCATACCACACCCATGGTGGATTTCGACCCCTGCCAAACAGACTACAACTGCTGACAGCCATGCATAGAACCCCGTGACTGTGGAAGAGGCTCTTCTTGGTCTGGAGGAACATACACCAGCCAAATAGCCTGTGTCCAATGTTATGCAAGGCATGCTCCAAGACATAGGAGAATGACTTCAACAGAGACACTGACAAATGGCTGTCAACCCCTTCTCCTCGATATGAGTGTGTGGGGGGGAGTTTTTCCCTTACCTAGTGCCACTTTTGGGTCCCCTAGCTGCCCTATTGCTTCTCCTTTCTGTGAGTCCTTGTATTTTATGATGCTCATTAATAACTGGATAGATGCATTTATGGCAAAGCCCATTCAGGTACACTATCGTCAGCTGGAGATGGCAGATCAACAAACTTACCAGGAAGGATTTCCCACGAGTGGCCCATATGACAATGTGGCCTAACTGCCCTGGGGCAATGGACAGGCAGTCAGAGATGGGCAACTAGGACATGCATGTTAATTCCAATGGCCACCTAAGACAGGCACAGGACCAACTGTTGTTCTGCAAGCCCATGACAGGTAAGGCCTGGTTGGGTCCATGCAATGAGGTCCTTGACCTAAGACAGACGCTGTCCGACAGGGCCTGCCATACTCTTGATTAAATAATATAAAAAGGGAGGAGATGTAGGGAGCTGAGTGACAGCCCATTGCTGCCTCCCTGCCTCTCTCTCCTATGGGCACTGCGTCTGCCTACATTAACCATAATCCTCTCCTGCTTACGTCACGTATCCGGATGTGACGGTGCCCCTGTTGTATTCACCCCTTAACCTCTTCCTGTCCCACCTCCCGCCCTTGGCCTATAAAAGGTGTGATCATTTCCTGAATAAACGGAAGCTTGATTGGATTATTTCAACTTGCTTTCATCTCTCTTTGTCTCCCCCCATGTCTTTTATTTAATCCCCGATCCCCCTTCAGGAGTTCTCCATGGATTGATCTGCAGGCCGGATCAAACCCCAACCGTGCTCTCATTTTGTTCTGTATGCATCAAAATTTCTAAGTTTCAAATCCTTGTAAAAACTTAGGTTTCAGCTTCTTGTAACTTTCAAGCCCTTCACACCTGTTAGTGATGAGCTTTCCTAAGATAATTAACTTTCTACTTTCTTTTCCAAATGTTATTGCAGATGTGCAATTCCAAGATAATGCTTATCTGCAGGACGGGAGTAACTTGAAAGGCACCAAAGGCTCCCAAGGTTGTCAGAACTAAGTGGACAGCTTTACAGTTTCCAGATTTGGGTCAACAGTTAAATGGCTCTGCGGATTTTTTTTGTCCCCCCACCTCCTGCTTTTTAAATCCCCTTCTCCAATCTCTGGCGTGCAGTCTCCAAATTGGCTCTTGGAGACTTGTCGCCAGGCCTGGCCTAAATAAAGCCTTTGCTCCCCAAATTTCAGTCTCTTGCTTCCTTGGATTTTGTACTGGGGTCCGAGCTATCACAACAACAGAGCGAGATACACCTTCTTTCTGGCATTACATTATATACTGACTCCACCCCTATGTGGATGTAGCACTGACACCATCAATCCAAGGACTACACAATGAACCAAACACAGATGCATAATGTAAATGCATGAGGCCTGGGGGCCACCTACATAATCCACAACACTGAGCTGCCATCTGTGCTGGCTGGGCTGGTGGCCACATGCCTGTGAATGGGCCACCATGGCCACAGGCACACCCATCCAGGTGGCTCTACACCTGTGGGCTTGGATTGCATGGTTCTTACCCCAGGCTTCCAGGCCTCCTAGCACCAGCTCTCATGGCTGAAAAGTAGTGACACAGAGGGTGGTGGTGTCTCGGGGGATGGGCTGTGGCAAGCAGGCTCTCAGACAGTGCTGCTGGGGCTCACAGAGAGGCCCAGGTGCACATGAGGTCTGGGTGGGGCACTTTCATTGGCCACTGCCTGGATAGCAAGGCCAATGCACAGAGTGGTCAGGAATCTTCCCAGGGCCACCCAGCATGACAGCAGCTGTGGTGCTGCTCCATGGGCCACCTCCAGACAACCTCGCCTGAGAGCTCAGGGAGCCTGCCAGAGATCGACCACTGGCTCTGTGAGGAGCAGTGGATGGGAGAGACACATTCCCAGAGACACACAGAGAGGCAACAGAAAGATGAAAGGCTGATGACACAAGTCACACCTGGGGAGGGAAAATCTCAACCATAATGGGATGGCGTCGTGGCAATCTGGAATGTCCACTCAGAGAGGACAGAAGGAGTATGGGAATTGGGACACAGGAATACAAGGCCCCATCTCACAGAAATGCTGCACTGCTGCCTGGGAAAATCAACCTCCACTCCAACCATGCCACAGTGATCTCACTGCTGGCAATTCTCCCTGCTCCCCGGGCACCATTCACCACAGCCCAGTGCAGAGATGCCTCAAGTGCCTGTCAGCTGAGGAATTGATCAAGAAAATGTGGCCCCACCACAAGCCAGGATGCTGGCCATCAGAAAGAGAGTGATCTTCATGGGTACTGGCCAAAACCTGTCCTACCAGGAGCCCACAAGGCTGAGGCAGAAGGGTGCTATGTGGTATCCAGACTGGGCAGCCTAGAAAAATCTTGTCTCAAGATAAAAATAAAAGGGCCAGACATGTTGCACAATGATGAGTGCTTGCCCACGTTGCAAAAAAAAAAAAAAAAAAAACAAGGGCCAAGCACTCCCTGGCCCAACTCCCACCAGATGAATACACAGGGGCAGGGATGACAAGAAGGGAATGAAGTGGCTGGCATGATGCCAAGCACACTGTGCACATGCATACTGCTGCCATGTGGGTGCAAGATTGTACAGAGCCCCCCAAGCAGGAACATGGTGGTCATTGCACCCTTTATGTCCCTGGCCTCCATACCTGATGCTTTTGGAGAGCTCTGAGAAGCCCCACCACCAAATTTGCAGGAGCTGGGTGCCCTGCCCAGAGGGATCTCAGGACCTAACAGCATCCAGCTGTTTAGTGATGTCACTCGTGTCCATGGGGTGGCATTCAATCAGGTTCAGGAACCTCACCTCAGGGACTGCTTGGCCTGGAAGCTGGCCATCTTGTTCTTCCTCTGCAGAGACAGCAGGGAACCCAGGGCCTTGGGGCCACTCATGTTCTGTTCTATACCGGAGAAGGGCAAGTCTTCTGTAAGGCCACACCAGCAAGGTGAGCCCTGTTCACACCAGCAAGGTGAGCCCTGTTCACACCAGGCCTCCCAGTGCCCACAAAGCTGTGGGTCTCAGGCCCCCCTTGTTCTCAGGGGCCTTCCTGGACATGTAAACTGGCTCACTTGGCTAGGGCCCTGCAAGACAAGTGTTGTAAGCTTAAAAACCCACAATGTGCTGTACTTATTCTCAATGTGCCTTTATGACTTATTCTATTCCTGTGAAACAATGACCTCTTCTTGCAACCTTGTTTAAGTGCCAGTTAAATTACCATTTTATGGCATATCCTTGTGTAACTCCCTGCCTACATCCCTGTTTCTTGTTACTGCTTGTTCCACCCTCTTGATTCCTCTAAAACTAAACCTAATTACCTTTTATGGAGTCAAACTGATCCTAAGACCCTAACCCTTCTTAAACCCCCCCCTTGTGGCTTATTGCTTTATAGCTCCCTGCAGTCCCTGGCTCAGGGCGCACTTCACTGACTTCTTGTGGGACTGTGTCCCTGCTGAGCTCAGCTAATAAAGCACTTTTTAAAAAAATTTTTGGAATCTGTAATTTTTCTGATTATTACATTTTGGGGGCTACTTTTGGACTACACCTTTCACAGGATTTACCACCCCCCCTTGTGGCTCCTAACGTCCCAGGACTCCTACACTTTGGAGGACATCAGGATCTTTTTGAATGTGGCTTCCTTATATTAGGAGGTACTTATTATTTTCATTTTCTCTCCATGATTGTTTCCTCTTCTATGACCTGGGTCAAGTTTTCAGGCTCGTTGCCATTTGGGCAAGATGTCACCAAAATTATGGCCAGTTACTGCTGTTTGAGAGAGGAATTGACTTCCATTGAATTGAATATACTTGGGGAGTCAAGTTTTCAACCTTGATCCCATTTGGGTGAGATGTTGCCAAAGTCTTGACTTAGATCTAATACACTGTTGTCTTCTTGTTATATTCCTGATTCATCCATTACAGAGAATTCTTGCAAATTTTAACCACTTTCTAGGGTTTTTTAAATACATGACTAACTCGAGTTAACTAAATTCAATAATTTTGTGGGGTTATTGGGATTACTAAATTGAAAAGTTTTACAGTCTGCAGTAGACAAACAGGAAAATGGACACCTGGTGATTTTAACCAGCTCTTGTTTGCAAAATCGAGGACCTTCTCCAGTCTCTGTAGCCATTCTTGGTGATTCTTTGGGTGATTCTTTATCTTTGTGGTGGGATTCCACCATCTTGCCTTTGTCTTTTAACTGTACCCTTGTCTTGCATGTCTACCACTGAGTCAGATGGTTTTCTCCTCTTTGTCATCCCTGCAACCCGTTCTTAATCATTTTAAGGAGTTTATGGATTGAGCTGCAGATACAGAGATCTTGTCTATCTTAAGAAGCTAAGAACATTTTGTGAACTTGAATGTCCTTCCTTTTTTGTCAGGTGACCTTCACAGGGAACTTAATTACAAGTCTCTGAATAGTTCAATCAAGTCATTTTCATATTCCTCATAAGCTGGCCATGCAACCTGACCAAGTCATCTATATCAAAGTTTGGATTTACTTGATGCAGAATCCACCCTCATGGATAAGAAAACTCCTATAAGAAGGACCATGGGAGGTGCAATGTTCTCTCATGGCAATGATTAAAACTAAGATGTGACCTACCCCTTCCTCATGATTCCCCTCCTCTTTCTGGACCCCCTCCTTATCACCCTGATTCCTCAAGCTCATCAGAAACCTCTACACAGACTCCTGCCCTTTCTAGTCAACCTCATACTTGCAGCTGTTGTCCCCTACCACTCTCTTCTGCACCCAGCCCTGACTCCCATGAGTTACCCTCCATTCTGCTTTTTTGAGAAGTCCCTCCATCAGACTTCTTCCAAGGGTATTTCTTCATCTCTGTCCCTTTCTCTACCAGGGATTTGTACAACTGTAAATTACAGAATCCACCTTTCTCTAAGTACTCTCAGGCTCTAATATCTCTCCTTGAGACCTTTTGTTTCACCCATCAGCCAACCTGGGATGACTGCAAACAGCTTTTCCAGACTCTCTTCACACCTGAGGAATGCAAACAAATCCACATCATGGTGTGTCAATCTTTCCTTGACACTAATTGGGAACCCACTTCGGATCTAATGAAGCTTGATGTTTTTCCTTTGACCCGACCTAACTAGGACTCCAAAAAAGATGGAGGTAAGAAGCCTCTCGATTGGTATCTCCAGACTCTTCTTATGGCACTCTGAGCTGCTGCCTAGAAGCTGACTAATCTATCAAAGATAACTGAGGTAAGACAAATGGCTTCTGTGTTTCCATTGGTTTTGCTTAGCATCTACTAGAGGCGATATAGATATAGATATAGATATAGATATGGATATGGATATGGATATGGATACAGATACAGATACGGATACGGATACGGATATAGATATAGATATAGGTATAGATATAGGTATAGATGTATACCTGTAGATCTGGAGGCACCAGAAAACAGACTATTAATACAGCTTTCGTCTCTCAGTCAGTCCCTGATATTAAGAGAAAATTGCAAAAATTAGAGGGTTTTGAAGGAATGATGATAGGTGAGTTAATAGAGATAGCCCAAAAGATTTCTGACAACAGGAAGATCTACAAGAGAAGCAATTACCAAGATCTTGGCTGTACTGGTGGAGGGGCATACTCAAAGCAGAAAGAGAAAAGACCACAAAAAAACTTGCTAGACAAGAATCAATGTGCATCTTTTAAAGAATTGGGACATTGGAAAAAGAATTGTCCAAAGTTAAAGGTCAAACTGGAGAAGGGGAAACCTCCCCTTTGGTCCTATTGGAAAAAGATTGACACTTTCAGGGTTCATCAACTCCCCCTGATCCCTGGTTAATAGATTTCCTGGTCAGTACTGCAGCAAGTTACTCAGTGTTACGGTGTCCTCTTGGGGAGATGTCCAAGAATACTCTAGCTATTCAAGGGTCCACAGGTAACATCTGGTACTACCCATGGACTTGGACTAAGATCACCCACTTAGGAAATCAGACTTTAACTCACTCTTTCCTAATGGTGGCTAAATACCCTAGCCCCTGCTTGGCTGAGACTTACTTCACATAAGCTTCAGGTGAGCATTAGCATTCCCTTGTTCACCTTGAGGGCACAGAAACTACTGGAAACTCTCCCATAAGTCTCCTGATAACCTGCCCCATTACTGAGGGACACCTACTGATAGCTGAGCCACCAAAAGTAACTTCAGAGCTTGAGGCCAAAT